ATATATATATATATATATATATATATATATATATATATATATATATATATATATATATATATATATATATATATATATATATATATATATATATATATATAAACATATGTCGTACTTAGTAGCCAGAACGCACTTCTCAGCCTACTATACAAGGCCCGATTTGCCTAATAAGCCAAGTTTTCATGAATTAATTGTTTTTCGACTACCTAACCTACCAAACCTAATCTAACCTAACTTTTTCAGCTACCTAACCTAACCTATAAAGATAGGTTAGGTTAGGTTAGGTAGGGTTGGATAGGTTCGGTCATATATCTACGTTAATTTTAACTCCAATAAAAATAAATTGTCCTCATACATAATGAAATGGGTAGCTTTATCATTTCATAAGAAAAAAATAGGGAAAATATATTAATTCAGGAAAACTTGGCTTATTAGGCAAATCGGCCCTTGCATAGCAGGCCGAGTACGACGTTCTGGCTACTAGGTACAACATATATATATATATATATATATATATATATATATATATATATATATATATATATATGGCGTACCTACTAGCCAGAACGCACTTCTCAGCCTACTATGCACGGCCCGATTTGCCTAATAAGCCAAGTTTTCATGAATTAATTGCTTTTCGACTACCTGACCTCTCGTCCTCCCAACCATTCCCCCCTCCCCGACTCCTTGTCTTCCCCACCATCCCCCACTCCACTATTCCTTGTCCTACCAACCATCCCTTGTCCTTCCAACCATTCCTCCCCCATTCCCTCGTCCTCCCCACCATCTTCCACTTCCCCTCCCTACCATTCCACCTCCTCCCCCTCGTCCTCCCTACCATTCCCCCCACCCCCTGTCCCCTTGTCTTCTCCATCATCCCCCATTCCCCTATCCCTTGCCCTCCCCACTATTTTCCATTCCCCCCAGTCCCTTCGTCCTCACCATCCCTATGTCCCCCATCCCCTCGTCGTCCACTCTATTATCCCCTCCCCTGTCACCATGTTCTCCCCACCGTCCCTCACTTCCGTCTCCTCCTTCTCTCCACCATTCCCCCACTCCCTCGTCTGATGCCTTCCCAAATGGTCTGATGTTCCTATCAGAAAATTGAGAACATCAAATGATCTCATGTTCCCATCACTGAAATATAAGAAAAACACTTAAAAAACAAAATGAAAAACAATGAAAAAATAAAAAAGTAAACTATGGGCACAAAATGAACAGTGTGGTAAACAACACAGCTCAATTCCAACACAATGTCACACAAAATAATTAAATCAAAATGAAAATAAATCAAAATCTATGAAAATTTAATTTATCAATGAAATTGAAAACATTGAGATGGAAACGTAACATATTTGGTATAGCGTGTGTTGCTCCTATGTCCAACAGATGGCGCTGTTTTTCAGAAAAAACATCATTTTACCTGTCACAGGTGTGGCATCTAATACTCGCGAAATGAACGGTATAGTAAACAACACCGCAGAATTGCAACTCAATGTCACACAAAATAATTAAATCAAAATGAAAATAAATCGATATCTATGAAAATTCAATTTATCAATGCAATCGGAAACATTGAAATGGAATTGTAACATATTTAGTATAGCCTGTGTTGCAATTACATGCAACAGATTTTTTTTTTTAAAGCATGTTTCTACCTGTCATAGGTGTGGCATCTATATAGTAGGTATATAATAACATGCGCGTATTCGAATGGAACGTTGTGTCCAAATTTCGAAACGATCAGTGAAGAACTTTTAGAGATTATAGCGTGTGTTGTTCTTACGTCCAACAGATGGCGCTATTTTTAAAAACAAAGCATGTTTATTCCTGTCATGGGTGAGGCATATATATAGTAGGTATATAAAAAAACGCGCCTATTCGAATGCAACGCTGTGTCAAATTTTCAAAGCAATCGGTAAAGAGGTTTCGAAGATTTTCCTCATATGAAAAACACATTTTTTCAAAAAACATGTTTTTTTCCCATCACAGACATCATATCTATATAGTATGTATATAAAAATCTGCTCGGATGCGAATGGAACATTGTGTCAAAATTTCAAAGCAATCGGTGAAGAACTTTCGGAGATTAGCGATTTTGAACAAATGAACATTTACATTTTCACTTATATAAACGTAAGTCATTGGCAAAATAAGCTCTTTGCATTCTCCAAGAACCCGGACAAATACATTTTACCAACCCCCCGGAACCTGGCTTGAATTTTTATATTGATATAACTTCCTCATTGACAACTAACCTAGTCAACTTGTCCTCCTCACCTATATAGAGTTGTTAAGATGCAGAGATAATGATAAGTTTTTGTTTAGTAAATACAGGGGTGACATTTTCAAGGCAAAAATAAAATTAACTAAATGAGCAGGAAAATTAAAGTGGAGGAATGTGACTGACTTAGGTGCAAGGGTGCGTGTGTGGTTGAGGATGCCGAAGTCGGAGTCGATGACGGTGAAGAGGGTGTGATTGAGGCTGACGCTGAGTGTATTATTATGTAGACTCTCCGGACAGCCGTGAGTGGAGAGGGGCAGTTGCTCTGGGCTGCCGCCACCTCTCATAAACTTGCCAACCATCAGCCACACGCTGAACACGTTTGCCAGGAAGAAGCCCACCACGGCGCCCTGCAAAAGGGTCCAAAATCCGGTATTTATCTGAAGTTCTTATAGTCTTATTCATTCATACACACATAATTAAGGAAAGTTTATTATCATTAATGAAGGAACCATAGGTGTTGTTTTTATGTCAGACACTGAGCTCATCCTCAGACCCAATCCATTACCATGAGAAACCACAATCCCTTCCCCCCTTACCTTGAGGTTACCTTGAGGTGCTTCCGGGGCTTAGCGTACCCGCGGCCCGGTCGTCGACCAGGCCCTTTCTCAAACCACCTGGAGAGTTTACTAGATATTTGTGATGGTTTGAAACCATATACCATCAAACATTTTCTCGTGTTCTAAATGTTCTAAAAACCAGATTTTATTGGTTTATTCACGTTTTAAATTTCGTTTTATACACGTGTTTTGAGAATTTGTAAAAACAATAATAAAATATGAGGTCATAATGTTTTAATAAAACGTGTTTTTAATGTTATGATATAACGTTTTAGAGAAAAGTCTTTTAAAACGATAATTCTAATTATTAATTATTGGAATTATTAGGTACAATTATTTGTAATGCATTTAGAAAGTTAGAGACAAACCAGGAAGAAAAGGAGAGAGAGATGCAGAGACAGAAAGAAGAGAGAGCAGAGAAACAAAGAGTGAGAGACAGAAAAAGAAGATACGAAATAAACAAAGAGAGAGAGAGAGAGAGAGAGAGAGAGAGAGAGAGAGAGAGAGAGAGAGAGAGAGAGAGAGAGAGAGAGAGAGAGAGAGAGAGAGAGAGAGAGAGAGAGAGAGAGAGCAACAGTGACAGTTAGAAAGACGGAGGTAGAAGGAATCATTGACAAAGACAGATAGATAGAGATGGAGAGAGACAGAGACAGTGAAACAGAGACTGTGAGACAAAAACAGTGAGACTGAGAGGAAAGAGACACAGACAGTGTGAGATAGAGGGCGACAAAGATAAAGAGAAATATACGGACATAGACAGAGACAGGAAGAGAAGGCTAAAGACACAGAGACAGAGAAGGATACAGAGACAGAGAGAGAGGTAAAGTCAGAGAGAGGACAGAGACAGCGGCAAAGACACAGAGACAGAGATAGAGCGAGGAGAGAGACAGACACAGACAATGGCAGAAAAGAGAAGAGGCATAGATAGAGAGAGAGACAGAAGGAAACAGAGAGACTAGGCGAGAGACAGAGACATGGGTGGACAGGAGACTGGGCGAGTGACTGCATGACGTGCTGTAGTACTGAGAGGGAGGGGAACACTGGCTGGCTACAGGCCCTAGCTGAGGGTCAAACCGCAAACCATTTCTGACCTCAAGACAGCTCACATTTCACTCTCAGAGCCTCCCATACACACCAACAGTGTTTATATATAATGTTTACATATCAGTACTTTCCACACACACACACACATACTCACACCAGAATATCACACACCATGGGACACAAACATCACAAACCACGTACACAAACAGCAAATCACACATACATACACACACACACTAGGGGCGCTGGTGGCTGTGTGGGTTTTTGCTATGGATTGCATTTTGTACCCTGTACATTGTTTAAGGTCCTCAATGTCACTACACTTAAGTACATTACCTGAAATTTTTCACTGAAAAATAACTCTACTTTTAAAGCAGAATCAAGTAATGATATTTAATATTGGGATGAGAAGCATTTACTTTAGTAAGAGAAGTAAAAAAGATCTTGAAGTAGACAATCATGAAGTTATATTATGAATGAAAATAAAACAGGTCGTGTGCCATTGATAGAACTTTTTGTAATTTAAATTTCCAAGTTCTTTGTTCCCTGCACACTGGGCATCAACGTTTAAGTTAGTAGACATATGATTTCTTCTTCTGTTTTATAGTTTGTGGCAACATCGATAGGTTTCTGCGTTTCAGCTCCTTTCCCATTTCACTGTGGTTTTCCCCACATATATAAATATTTGCAAATTTCAAGATCCTGGACAAGGAAGTTTTCCTGAAGTTTCATTATACCTATGCTAGACCCTTACTGAAATGTGTAACCTTATTAGGAAATCCCTAAAAAAATACTAGACGTGCAAAGGTTTGCTATGAGGCTGGACCCTGAATATATAGAGGTGAGTTAACAAGACCTCACCATGCTGAAATTAATAAAGATGGGTAAGTGGTTATTTGACCATATAAACATCTTAAATGCATTAAAATAAAGCAAAATAACAACTGTTTCTCCAAACACAAAAGCAAAGGCCTCTATCATAACCAACAAACAAGAATACTATTTACCTTTTTACTGACCCATGGAGCACAGATACCCACCAAGAACATGCCAATGAGGGGGCCCCTAATAACACTCATCAGCGCATTCGTCACGTGGAAGATGGTGCCCAGATTGCCCACCAGCAGCCCCAGGAATATGGCCACCACTCCTGTGATGGTTGCTGCCCACATCCATACCAAGAGAAGACACTTAGGAATATATTTTGTTATTATGTGTGAGAGTGTTTTTTTCCCTCTAGCTTTACCCTTCTGCTCATTGAGACATGTTGTGATGACTGGCATTAATGTACTTATTTTTCATCTTATTGTCATTGTTTCTATAATTGAATGAAATATTCTTTTGTAATGAATTTGAAGAGCATAAAGTAAATATGGAAGTAGAAATGAGAGAGAAAGGTCTGACACTAATCATAAGCATATGTTTTAAATAAGCAAGAGTAAGACGCCCAGTGGGAGTATAAAAGCTGACTAAGCGTTTCTTTGATTCAGCGATACTTACTTCAAGGAGACTGTTGAAATATGTAATATGCCTATTCAATGTTTTTACTTATTTTCAACTGTGGAATTTTGCTTACTTTTCACAATATGAAATTATGTTGTTAGACATTATATGAAATTCAGCCCATCCTCCGAATAGACAGTACATTTTAATACAAAATGTATTAAGTACAATCCTGACTATCAGCATAGTACATAGTACATAAATACACATAATAACCAGCATCGCACCAAAAAAATGTGAATATTAGAGTTTACCTGAAAAGTTGTATAGAAAACTACGACCTAACCTAACCTTGGGAGTGTAGGAGGACAAGCATATACATAGCATTTATTGCTTCTTAATTACAATTAATACTTAACGTATACCTACATTGATATTATAATTTTATAAAACTAATAAAACAAAAGTAAAGTCTTTCAATAAATTATTAAGTAACTCAAAATATTTTCAAATTTTGTATAAAATCTCTTGTTTAATGAAACTGAAAAAGAAATTCTTTGTATTTAAAACTTGTGTATACAGAATCGAACACTAGAACTTCAACCTAATAATCTTAGGTGTATTAATACAAAATTAGGAGGATATATATAGAGCGGTAAATATAACAGCATAATTAGTTATTATATACTATGCAGACAGTCAGGAATGTACTTATTACATTTAGTATTAAAACATACTGTCTATTCGGAGGAAGGGTTGATGAAATCATATCAAATTTCGTATATATATATATATATATATATATATATATATATATATATATATATATATATATATGTCGTACCTAACAGCCAGAACGCACTTCTCAGCCTACTATTCAAGGCCCGATTTGCCTAATAAGCCAAGTTTTCATGAATTAATGTTTTTTCGTCTACCTAACCTACCTAACCTAACCTAACCTAGCTTTTTTTGGCTACCTAACCTAACCTTACCTATAAATATAGGTTAGGTTAGGTTAGGTAGGGTTGGTTAGGTTCGGTCATATATCTACGTTAATTTTAACTCCAATAAAAAAAATGACCTCATACATAGAGAAAAGGGTTGCTTTATCATTTCATAAGAAAAAAATTATTGTAAATATATTAATTCAGAAAAACTTGGCTTATTAGGCAAATCGGGCCTTGAATAGTAGGCTGAGAAGTGAGTTCTGGCTACTAGGTACGACATATATATATATATATATATATATATATATGTCGTACCTAGTAGCCAGAACTCACTTCTGAGCCTACTATGCATGGCCCGATTTGCCTAATAAGCCAAGTTTTCATGAATTAATTGCTTTTCGACTACCTAACCTACCTAACCTAACCTAACCTAACTTTTTCGGCTACCTAACCAAACCTAACCTATAAAGATAGGTTAGGTTAGGTTAGGTAGGGTTGGTATATATATATATATATATATATATATATATATATATATATATATATATATATATATATATATATATATATATATATATATTGCACGAGAGGCCGACCTCTCGTGCAAGTGTAGGGACCCATAGCCTCGGTGAAGAAAATAAAGAGTACTCTGAGAAGACTTTGTGGATCCTCACTAAACACTTTTATATTTTCTTCTCCTACCACCCCTATTCTTTTTGTATGTGTGTATATATATCTCACAAATATACAGTAGGAGAAGAAAATATCAGTGAAGATCCACAAGGTCTTCCCTGAATACTCTTTATTTTCTTCTCCGAGGCTATGAGTCCCTACGCTTGCACCATAGGTGGTACCACTTTTAGGTTAATTTATATCTCACTTTATTTTAAAATTTCATTACACAAAAAGGGTTACATGCAGGGTACAAGACTACTTGTCACAGGTTGTGGAGTTCCTCCAGCTCCTCAGATATAGGGCAGGAACCATACCTTGAGGTTACCTTACCTTGAGATGGTTTCGGGGCTTAGCATCCCCGCGGCCCGGTCCTCGACCAGGCCTCCTCGTTGCTGGACTGGTCAACCAGGCTGTTGGACGCAGCTGCTCACAGCCTGACGTATGCGTCACTCCCTGGTTGATCAGGTAGCCTTTGAAGGTGTTTATCAAGTTCTTTCTTGAACACTGTGAAGGGTGGGCCAGTTATGTCTTTTATGTATAGTGGAAGCGTGATGAACAGTCTCGGGCCTCTAATGTTGATAGTTCTCTCTCAGAGTACCTATTTGCACCTCTGCTTTTCAACGGGGTATTCTACACAAACTGCCATGCCTTCTGGTCTTATGTGGTGTTATTTCTGTGTGCAGGTTTGGGACCAGCCCCTCTAATATTTTCCACGTGTAAATTATTATGTATCTCTCCCGCTTACGCTCAAGAGAATACAGATTTAGACCTTTTAGTCGGTCGCAGTAGTTTAGATGTTTTACTGAGTGGATTCAAGCAGTAAAGGATCTCTGCACGCTCTCCAGGTAAGCAATTTCACCAACTTTGAAAGGCGTTGTCATTGTGCAACAGTATTCCACTCTAGAGAGCACTAGCGTCTTGAAAGATATCATCATCGGATGAGCATCTCTAGTGTGAAAGGTTCTTGTTATTATTTGACACTCAACCTATCATTTTTCTTGTAGTTGTGACGGCTACTTTATTGTGTTCTTTAAAGGTTAGGTCTTAAGGTCTTTCTAGTATGTCAGGGATAACGCCAGTATCTAGAATGGAGACATTCATTCTGTCTCCAAAGAATGTGAAGGGCCTGCGATAGTGTTTTTTTACAGTTCTTGATGAATATGGAGGTCCAAGAATCAGGGCCTGATGCAGAGTGCATAGGCATACTGTCTATGGCTTCTTCGAAATCCAGTGGGGATAGGGTGATATCTGATATATGTTTTGATGCTGGTATCAAATCCATGAAAAATTCATTTGGATTATGAATCTTCAGTGTGTGTTTAGTGGGTCGCTAAAGACAGTCATATTGATTCCTCAGTATTTTGCTCATTTCTTTGTTGTCATCTATGTAAGTTCCATCCCCCTTTCGCAGGGGCCCCAGTACTAGATGTAATTTTTTTATGAAAAACTCCCCAGATACCAAACAAAACGCCCTGAATGAAACCAACGTTGTATATGCCTTCACATGCCCCCTTGGGGACTGTAAGCCCCAAAGAACTCAGTATATAGGCAAGACAACGTCTCTTTCCAGGCGACTAACAATGCATAAACAACAGGGCTCCATCAAGGAACATATAATCTCTTCTCACAACCAGACCATCACCTGAGAAATCTTAACAAGCAACACAGAAATCATCGATAAATACAGTGATAGTAGGAGACTCGACATCAGCGAGGCACTACACATCAAAAAGTCAAGACCAGCAATCAACAGCCAATTAATGCACAACTATATTCTACCCACTTCAAGACTCTGAACCAACATAGAAGCTGCAAGAGGAAGTATGGGCCAATAGACCCTCTGCAGTTACTTCCATTCTTATGTTCTTATCCCATTGTTTCATGTTCTGTCTTATGTTTCACTGTCTTCATTGATTGATTGATAAAGATTAAGCCACCCAAGAGGTGGCACGGACATGAATAGCCCGTAAGTGGTGGCGCTTTTGAGCCATTACCATTATCAAGAGCTGATACTGGAGATCTGTGGAGGCGCGACTGCACCCTGCTTGACGGGAGATGTCTCCCTAACCAAATGGTGCTGTCTTCATGTTTTCTGTCTTCATACCCAATTTTTACCCTTTGATTCGTGTTCTATCATAGCTCTGTCACCTCACCCAAAACTTTCAGGCCATATCACCTCACCCAAAATGAGTATAAGTATGAATGTATTTTATGTGTAAACTAAGTCTTTGAAAATGTAATAAGCATTACGAAACGCGTTCAGGCGTCCGACCAGAAATAAGGAATAAATTTTGGAGAGTTAATTTATCAATTACACTAATTGTTTAATTATTAATTTGTCAATAGGCACATTAACATAAATTATTGGCAAATTCTTCCCGTAAAATCAAGGTATATATAATTACACAAGAGCTTGACAATGTTGGTGGAGTTGCGATTGCTGATGTTCTTAAAGTTTGGTCTGTCCTTGAGGAAGTCCACCCAGATGACGCAGGCTATTGAATTCCCCTGTGATGACAGCGAACTGTTTCAGGTAAAGATGAGCAACATCTTAGTCTCACGATAAGGAGCACCCAAATACCCTAATTAGCACACCCTCAACAGCTAAGTGGTCTCAATATTAACAATATATCATGCAAGGTGAATGTATATATTTCAAAAATTTCCAGATGAAAATGTGAGGTGGTTGAGTAACTGACCTGAGGGCGCCGCCATACACCGCGGCCACAAACAGGCCAGACATACCCTTCAGGTGCCTCAGCTTGTCCGCCACCAGGTAAGGCATGATCTGGTCAGGCTTTTCAATTCTTCCCGAGGTGAGCGGATCACAGTCGCTATACACGGCATAAGCGACGAGGCCGGAGATATAGAAGACACTCCACAGCATCAACGAACCCACTATGAACAACATGCACAAGCTGCAGAGGAAGCAAGAGAAGGCTCTAAGTTAATAATAATGATAATTCCACTAATTAGGTACCTCTATTTGCACGTCACTTCTGGTTGGCTTAATCGGACTCGTTGAATGTCAATACATATTAGTTTGTTGTGTGGTGTCTATGGGTTCGTTGTAGCCCCTCGAAGAGGCATTTGAGGTCAGAACTGAAACTGCACTTTAAGGTTTTATAAATATAAAGCAGTCATGCGAGTGTTAGTAGTGCTTTCATATTTGTCGTGTTCAAGGATTAAAAATAAAGTACTACATGCTGTCTGAAGTTCTGATTTGTTGTTGACTTAATTGCTGAGTCTGAGGAAGTTTTGCATGGTTTAATTTAAGATATCTTAAATAATATATGGATTAGTTTGAATAATATAGTGTTACTAGGGCAAGGTATATGTTACTCGTACGAGATGTTTTAAAACTGATAATATTCAAATTATTCTTATCAGAAAATAAAGGATACACTATGATTTATATAAAGAAGAGTAGCCTCCGGTAAAGCTAAATGAATATATATTCAGATTAAATAAAGTCAGAAGGGGTGTGCCCATTTTCTCAGAGTATATACTCTAACAGTTTACCATAATCATTGACAATGCTTTGGACTAAAATATACTTGCTGGATGGTCAGTAAGCTCTTGTGGAGGCCTTAACTAATCACAGTCCAGTGGTTGATATTCTTTCATCCCAACACCAAACAAACCCAATGAAAATATTTAAAACTGTACCAGAGCATAGCTATCCCACAGGAAACTGAGAGTGAGCACATAGCAATGTGATATATTGAGGAGAAAAGCTACGGAGCCGCGTAAGGGAATGAAACACGTGTCACGTGCATGGGAATGAAACACGTGTCACGTGCATGGGGATGAAACACGTGTCACGTGCATGGGAATGGAACACGTGTCACACTAATGGGTCATGCTGGCATCTGGTGTGAGAAGGGGATTTTTCCAGCTGACTTTTGAATCACAGTCATTTTGCACGCTTGCTGTGGACGACCATCATGGTGCACACATGCTGGGGACGACCATCATGGTGCACAGGCTGATCGCACAGACCTAAAGTTTTCAAATTGTTTAACAATCCCTATGGTGTTGGGTATTCATGTAGAGCTCTGGGTGTCCTGGGTGGTGTTGGGTATCCATGTAAAGCTCTGGGTGTCCTGGGTGGTGTTGGGTATCCATGTAGAGCTCTGGGTGTCCTGTGTGGGAAATTTTTACCCACCATATCTAATAATCATCTAAGAAATGTATAATTTCTATATCATATCAAAATCATATCTAAATCGTATCAAAATCATATTAGAATCATTATAGATTCATTATATAGCTTGATCCTGGATGACAATGGCACCATGAACACGTACGCAACAGGGGCCCTTTTGATGCCTACGTGACTTTGTACATGATCTCTCAAGGATCCAGAAGCTTCTAGAAGGTTTTGTTAATTAAAAAACTATTGGAACATTTATTCAACATCCGGTAGATTAATATCAAATCCTTAATAAGATTCAGTGGTACTTTCAAATACTACTTATAATCTTTAAATCTTATATCTAATTATATTATAACCACATCTTATCTTAATCATAAGTCTAGACTGTAAAAATAATCAATCAATATTCATAGAAGGCTACCGTGCACAGAGAGCATGGCAGGGCGATGGGGGGAGTGAAGCGCCCACCAACAAAGCCCAGCGGCACTCCGCGTTTGTTTACAATTGAGTGAACAAGTGACTGATCCTTAGCGAACATTACCAGCTCAAGGACACCTTATTTAACATTTTTATCGCCAGTGAATACTCTCTAGAACTGGGGGAGTACCTGGACAATATCTACAAGGAAAATCCTAGAACATTTATATAAACTAAGAGTGTTTAGTGGAGATCACGGTGACACGGTTTCCACCACCTTCATTCCTATTCTTTATCAAATATCATTCTTCTGCAACGCAGTTAAAGAAAAATCCAAGTAGCAACGCTACCAGATCACCATACAGCAACGCTGTAGCAAAATATCGTGCCTAAACTCAACAAGAGAGAGTTAATCAGTCTGGCACCTACCTTGTCAGACAGGCACCCCGACTGGCAGAGAAGTATATTGAAGGTTATTTGGTATATGATTGGCCAATTGTATGCTTGTGTAGCTTTAATATCCTATAAATCTGTCTGTTGGTTGTGGTGTTGGGTATTATGGTGCATGTAGAGCTCTGGGTGTCCTGGGTGGTGTTGGGTATCCATGTAGAGCTCTGGGTGTCCTGGGTGGTGTTGGGTATCCATGTAGAGCTCTGGGTTTCCTGGGTGGTGTTGGGTATCCATGTAGAGCTCTGGGTGCCCTGGGTGGTGTTGGGTATCCATGTAGAGCTCTGGGTGCCCTGGGTGGTGTTGAGTATCCATGTAGAGCTCTGGGTACACTAGATGGTGTTGGGTATCCATGTAGAGCTCTGTGTGCCCTGGGTGATGTTGGGTATCCATGTAGAGCTCTGGGTGCTCTGGGTAGTGTTGAGTATCCATGTAGAGCTCTGGGTACACTAGGTGGTGTTGGGTATCCATGTAGAGCTCTGGGTGGTGTTGGGTATCCATGTAGAGCTCTGGGTGGTGTTGGGTATCCATGTAGAGCTCTGGGTGGTGTTGGGTATCCATGTAGAGCTCTGGGTGGTGTTGGGTATCCATGTAGAGCTCTGGGTGGTGTTGGGTATCCATGTAGAGCTCTGGGTGGTGTTGGGTATCCATGTAGAGCTCTGGGTGGTGTTGGGTATCCATGTAGAGCTCTAGGTGGTGTTGGGTATCCATGTAGAGCTCTGGGTGGTGTTGGGTATCTCTCGTCCTGTCTAAACTCGATTATGGTTGCCCTGCATACTCTTCTGCTTCTCCTTCTACTCTTCGCCGTCTTGATCCTTTGCACTATACTGGGTTGCACCTCAGCTCTGGTGCTTTTCGTTCAACTCCTGCCCTCAGCTTGTACGCTGACACTGGCTTTCGGTCTCTCCAGGATCGCCGTGATCGCTACAGTCTTCGCTATCTTGCGCGACCCTTACAGCATCCTCACTCTCGCCTCTATCGTGCTTTAACTTTTACCCCTCCTGTAGTTCCTGTTCCTCTTCACCTCCTACCTCTTTCTGTGCGTTTTTCTCGCTTACAGGATTCTCTTTCAGCTCATATTACCAATGTTTCTCCTCGTATTGTTCCCTCCTTACCTCCGTGGAGGGTTCCCCTTCCCAAATTTTGTACTTCTCTGACCCGCATCACTAAAGCTTTTACCCCTCCTACAGTTCTGAAACACCTCTTCCTTGAGCACTTTTCTTCTCACTCCCACTCCGTTCTCATCTTCACCAATGGGTCTAAGTCTGCTGACGGTGTGGACTTTGTGATTTTCCTGACCACACTTATATGTGTCGCCATCCTCCGGAGGCTAGCATCTTCACAGCAGAACTTTATGCTATTCTCTATGCTCTTCGTCTCCTGCTTTCCCGGTGTCTATTCTCCATTGTGGTGGTAGTTGACTCTCGTAGTGCCCTCATGGCTTTACGGTCCTTTAATCCGGCTGACTTTTGAATCAGCCGGATTAAATCAATCCGGTGGTTGTCGAGATTCAACATTGGCTGTTTCTTATCTCCAGTAAATTTAAGTCGGTTGCATTTTGCTGGATTCCCAGCCATGTTGGTGTCTCTTTAAATGAGCGTGCGGATGCTGCTGCTAAGGAAGCTATCCGCGCTTGTCCCATCTCCCATAAAAGTATTCCTTATTCCGACTTTTACCCAGTTATTCATGCCTCCATCCTTGCCCGCTGGCAGAGTTGTTGGTCTTCTGTTATTGGTAACAAACTACGTACTCTTAAGAGTCATGTGTCCCAGTGGCTTTCCTCCTGCCACCGTAACCGGCAGTGGGAAACGGCTCTGGCTAGGTTACGTATTGGCCATACCCGTTTAACTCACGGACACTTAATGGAGCGCCACCCTGCTCCTTATTGTCCAAATTGCATTGTCCCTCTTACAGTCGTGCATGTCCTTGTTGAATGTCCTGACTTCCAGGACGAGCGTGTGTCTTGTTTTCCGACCGTCCCCCGCGGTCGCTTGTCTCTCAATAGAATTGTTGGCGACTCGGATACTTTTGAAGTCGTTCTCCTTATGCATTTCTGTTCTCGTATTGGCATCCTTGTTGATATTTAGCGCCCTCTGATTATCCTGCACATTTGATGGTGCTACATAGCCTTCCCAGTTTGGTGCCTTCTATTGATAATTACTTACTTAAGTTTTATTGAACAAACTTGTTATCAAACAACGTTTCGGTGAAGCCTTCTCTCAGGAAGATGCTGCAACTCCCCTTTACATATCTTGAAAATGACTCTAGCACAATTCATGCTTAAATATTAAATGTGATGTGGGCCTTCAAGATTATCCCTGCCAAGGCGTTATGCAGGAGATTCTCACAGTCAAGTAGACCACATTCACTGGAACACCTGTCTTAGGGAGGCCATCTACAGTGAGGCTTTACTTCGACCAGTAGAACCTAAGAGTTTGTGCAGCTACTCTGGAACCTACATAGTTCCTGGATAACGTATGCAGGCGGTCTGCCTGTGGCAACATTGCTAGCGGAGGTGGGCGGAAAATAGTTGAATACTACACCGTGATGCAAGGTCAGTTCCCCGCTTGTTCCAAAGATTTGTTTCAGTAAGCATTAACGGAGTAGTCTGAGTGAAGAACAGTGGCAAGTGGAGTGCTGCAGGGCTACGTTGTCCCACCTTCATTTTTACCAATATACATGTGATTAAGATACAAAAGTAAGAAGGAACTTTAATAAAAAAAATAAACTTACATAGATAAGAGAAAGTTATCATTTAACTAAATAGATGTATTCAGTGGTAAGTACAGATTGAGAAGGGTGAACTTACGACTGGGAGAGCTGGAGACTCTTGACGGAGATGAACCTCTGGAACTGCGCCTGGTTGATGCCAGCTAAACTTATAGTAAAGTACATCCCCAACACCTGCGTCGACCAGAGAGTGTTACGCACGAAGGGGCTCGGGTCCGTGCTGCCTCCGCCAACACCAGAATGACACGGAAAGGAAGGTGTTTGGTGAGTCTATTGCTCCATCTCCTGACTCTTTTTCTCCCTCCACTCTCTCTCTTTCTTTAACCATGACTAGGGGTCATAAGGGCTGTCAAATGACGTACTTAGTGAAACTGCAAGCAAGAGCTGTTATGCTACATCAGCTCATCTGAAGCCTGCTCCTAGAGATTTATTTCTTGAGACTGTACTTTGACACTATCACATAAGGAACTATCATATAAGGAACCTGGTTAAACTGCAAGCAAGAGCTGTAGTCCTACCTCAGCTCAGTTGAAGCCTACTCCTAGAGACCCATTTATTTCCTGAACATATTATATGCATCAGTATTAATAAATTGTATTCATTAACAAATTTATATAACAATCATATAAAGAATAGGATTAGCCTAAGGCTAACTGTGTGTCAGAGCCTTCATGTGATCAGTTGACCTGATCTCCAATGTATCAACCTGTTGAGCGAACAAATTCCAGATGCAAGTTTGAATGATCGCTGATAGGATGATGTTCTTGAGAAAGGCAGTTCCAGCATGAGACTGCTGAAGGTTGAGAGCCTAGTGAAACGGGTGTCAACTACTGGTTGATACTAACTACCACGGAGTTGGGCCAGATGCAGAACTTTGAAAATATTGGCCTTGTACATAACAGAATGACCACCAATGTCACGACGGTGTTGCAGGCACTAATGTTCAGGCTCTTCCCACTAGACTTGATCAAGACTAGATATAAGTTTTCTTGTACGGCTCTCCACTTTGTCCAAAATTCTGATGAATGATGGGGGCAGGCAACCCAGAATGGTCCATACTGTATATGAGAGTAAACTTATGCTTCATATAAGGGTTTGCAGCTTTGTCAAGAAGGTGTCAGATGCGCCATAGGGCTTAAAATTTCTTGGGTGCATTCTGGACTAGGTTTAGCACGTGGCTCTTCATTGTCATTGAAGAGTCAAACTTTATTCCCAAAATGTCAATTCCATTTGTGAACTTCATGGTTTTGCCACTCATTTGCATGCCGGTCCGATTTGTCATGTGCAGTCTAGTTATCATCATCGTTAGTGTCTTATCAGCCGCAAATGTGACCTGCCATCTCATACCCCGGGTAAAGATCACTGAAAGTTGGCGATTGATGATTCTTGCAGCGGTTGGTACTTCTTCCTGTCTGTATGTTGAAGATTAGAGTGCAGTCATGAGCCTAGGCTTCAGCTTCAGGAACGAGATGAAGTAGATCGTTCAAATAGACATTCCACAGCAGATTGGTCAAACCCAGTACCCTGTGGAACGCTGCAATCAACTGAGTGGCTCTCGGATTCTGCTCCATTGAAGATTAACCTTTAGAGTCTGTTTTTGAATGTAGTCATTTATTTCCTCTATGATGGAGTCTGAAATGCTTAGTGCTTGATGCTTCACTACTAATCCAGAGTGCCAGAACCAATCAAAGGCTCTTGCAATATCTAGAGCAACAGCACAGCTGATCTTGGACTCGTCCAGTGATTCACAGCCACTTAGTGGAGAAATTTAGCAAGAGATCAGCAACAGATCGACCTTTTAAAATCCTTACTGTCGATCACAAATTAGCCGATGATGATCACAAAATTATATAATTTGCTGAGCGATTAATGATTCTAGGCTTTCACCAGTAATGGAGAGCAGTTACACTGGTCTGTAGTTACAAACCACTGAGTGTTGGTAATGGCTGAAGGAGTGGCTCTTCTTTTTATGTAATAATAAGAAGAAGAACCTCTCTGTTGTGTTTAACGCAACCGTTGAAAACTAATGAGAATCAGGGAAGGCGATGTTCCATCGATACTAGACCTAATATTTACAGGGACAGAGGAATATATCATAGATCTACAGTACCTGCCTCCAACAGGTAAGAGCTACTATGTACTCCTAGATGTAAGATACGGTATAACAGAAGATAACGTTGAAAGTGAAACAATAGACAAACTCGACTTCAAGAAAGGATGGGAATGGAGTCTAAATGAGTTGTTAAATAGGATTGTCTGGAATGGTTTGTTGTTAGGCATGAAAATAGATTTATGCCATGTTTTGGGAGATATGTAATGATAGCTCCAAACATTTTTACCAAAGTAGAGAAGCAAATATAGACAACAGGATTGGGTTTGTAGAAAAGGCAACGGAGCCAGAGTATAAAACACAAAAGAATGGAATCAATATAGGAAGAGGCCAAACCTACAAACATCCCTTCTCCAACGAGAAGGTTTGGTGCAAAAAATTATCTTAGGTTTTATGATACAGTCACTTAGATCTTGCAAGAAAAAACTATAATATATCTAGACCAAAAAAAAAAACTTTGACAGGGTTACACGCAAGAGACTGTTATAGGAATTAGTATATTGGAAGAGTGACAGGCAGACTACTGAATTGGGTAAAATTTTATAACGAAGAGACAAATAGGAGCAATGATCAGAGGCAACTTATCTGCCTGGAAAATGTAACTTTCAGAGTACTTCAAGGTTCAGTTCCTGCACTACTAATGTTCAAAATGTTCAAAACATTTGAACAAGGAGGGAGGGAGCGTCACTTCACAGTGAGACTCATAGCAAATGACAGGAGAGTGTTCCAGAGAATTGTGATACTAGTCTCGCACGATAGACATACTCTATCCCAAGAGATCTACAACAACAATACCTATACAACCACAGGAACACCAGTATCCATCTTACCAAGTATTTTTGTATAAATTGGGCCGGTTTATTCATAAATAGGGTAGATGGTTATAATGTGGGTGAAAACCACCAACACTTGCGTACTCAGCTCTACACACTCATATTACATGTCATACCTGTAATTATATGTTTAGGGAACCTTTATTAATTCCTTACATCCCAAACAGGTAATTGTGAGGGAAGTTGGGAAGCTGGCTCCCAACATAATTATAGAAATTGCTTCCATTAACTGTCCATCAAGCTTTGTAGGCCTCCAGACAGCCACCATTACATGGCACTCAGAGCCACACCCAATTTTGAGGCTACAATTACACAGCCTTAGCAGGCCCCATCAACAGGAACAGCTAAGCCCCTTTTTTGTACAGTACTGTAGACATAGTATTAGTAATTATAAATTTATTATTGCTATAATAATAGTAGATTAGACTACCATATGTGGTATGATTTATAATTTATATATTGAAGATTAGGTAAATAATTTGTGGTTTATGAAGGAGCCATCTCAAAGTGGTTTAAGCTACAAATTGTCCCTGCAATTATGTAAGATAAATTCAGGCAGCTGAATCAGTACATACAGTCCACTCACTTAATTACTTACTTGCTTAATTAACTAACTTATTACTAAGAACTAACCAAAAAATAATCAGATAAAATTATAATATTAAAGTCAATTAAAAAATAAGTAAAAATATTTTAGTATTTACAGAATTAAAAAAGAATTAAAGCTACTAGGATTTTCCACAAATATATGTTGTATATATGATACAGGAAAATAGGTCGGGAGTCAGTACATTTGACAACTGACGGCTAGAAAGGCGGGATCCAAGAACTAACAGTTCGATCCTGAAAGCCCAAGCAGTAAATACAACTAGTAAATACACAAACATATATTAAAAAAAACAAGCAAAATAGACCAGGTGCAAGTCCGACTCATCACTCACTTGAAGAACTCAATGCGTCCTCCTTGGTCAGCGATATCCCAGACGCCTGCGGGGCCGCCCAAGTCCAGGCAGCAGATCACGGACACCACCAACACGCCACCGAACATCAGCAGCGTCTGTACCACGTCTGTGTACACCACCGCCTTCACCCCGCCCTGTGCAACACACAAAGTCTCGCTGCAGGCGAACACACACACAATAACAGGAAAAACTCCTGTTATTTACACATCATAAACAAGTATCACAAATTAATACTGAGAAATATCTTCATAATTCATATATGTAAAATTTCACAGGAGTAGAATATCATTCCAGTTGTAAAAACTGATAACTTGGGATTAAGGAGAGATAGTGTTATCATCAAAGGTGCAGTTTCAGAGTTAAGCTGGAGGTAAATACTCTACTGGCACAGATTACCAGCAACGTTTATTTGAATAAGGAGAGTATGATATATAGTGAAAGAACAGCAATATAGTATAAAAGAGCACATAGTGCTTCAATAGAGTCGATATCGATAGAGCTTCGGCCTCACGTGTGTGGGGTCCACGGTTCAAGTCTTCTACAGCCCAGGTGAATAGAAATTAATGTGTTATATTAGGAAGGTAAAATAAGGTTAAGTAAAGAACAGGAAATTCCATAAGAACAGTTTTTGTATTACTATTTTGACACTGAAATCAATGGGATTGGCTTTATCAAAAGGAATTATTAATAACGAGTTCGCCAGATGAACACGCAGGCTCAATGGATGCACAGGAGTCTTCATGACTGAACTTTCTTGTTCACAACTGAACATAAATCAAAATTTAAGAGCTAAATTCACAGACACTTAGAAAGCTGTTGTGTTTAATGGCAAAATAACAGTTGAGAGGACAACATGGGGAACTTTTTATGTCATTAAGAATATGGAAATGTGTTAATCAAGGCAAGCACAACAATTACTGTAGACTTTGTTTCTCTGTTTCTCTAGAAAGAGTCACCCACAGTTTCCTGTAGCATGCAGAGAACGCCTCTTAGCTAAATGTGGCAAAAATATTGTTACGATTATCTCTTGCATAACAGTAGATTCTGCCTGTTCCTTACCACTTACATATCAGCATGCTTCAACATCAAGACTCAACATCAAGAAACAACAATACGGGCCAAAACGTATTGTCTAGACACACCTTCCTCCCCCTCCACCCTACCTTCCACAAGAGCCTCACACCTGAAATCTATCCAGCTCACCTGACGTCAGACAAACTATCACGATGGTCGTTATCTTGCCGGCTTCTCGTCTACAACTCCAGCATTTGCGTCAAAATGACGTCACAGCCCATATATAAAGGCTTGCCAGCATTCAGCACAGCACCATCTGGTCACCACTTGGTCCGGGAGACATCTCCCGTCACGCAGGGTGCAGTCGCGCCTCCACAGATCTCCAGTATCAGCTCTTGATACTGGTAATGGCTCAAAAGGGCCACCACTTACGGGATATGAGTGTTGTTGCCTGCCTGGCTGCGTGCTGACGTGGCCTTTTTGCCATGGGGGGCCTGGCTATTCCTCCTGTGTTGAGGGTAAATTCCGTGGGACTGGAATTCACGTGTAAGGCTGGTTATCCGGCCGTTGAGTTAGTTATGTGTGACATGCTTCGTGTCCCGGTGGAAGCTGTGTATGGCGTTGAGCTTGTTACGGCCCACCGGGTGATTGTCAAGTTCGTGGGGGAGGAGGAGTATCGGGACTTCCTCCGGCGGAACGAGGGGCGTTCATTGCAGTTGCCGGATGGCGCCGGCTCCGTTACGATCTCGGACCGAAGTGGTGCCCTGACATATGTCAGTGTGCACGGTGCGCCCCTGGAGTTCCCTGAAAACCTTCTCCGGCCCTTCTTCGGGAGGTATGGTGCAGTCATCAGTGTGCGGGTGAACAAGCTGTCCTCGGGGAAGTATGCTGGGAAGCAGACAAATGTCCGTACATTAGGTATGCGCCTGCGGTCGGATATCCCATCTTCTGTCCGGCTGCTGGGCTACTACGTTCAGGTGTACTATGCCCGGCAGCCCCGTACTTGTTTCCAGTGTGGCCAGTTGGGGCATCAGGCTGCCGGGTGCTCTGAGACACCTGCTGCGCCCGTTAACTTATTCCGGGAGGAGGATTTCCCGCCGCTCCCTCAGGGCGTGGACTCAGGAGATGAAGTGGAGCAGGTCCCAGTCGCTGCTGATGCGGCCCCTCCTGCGTCACCCGACATGCCCCCGGTGCTTGTTGCCCCTCAGCCGAGTGCGTCTGCGTCTTCCTCGACTCCTGCTGCTGCGCCTGGTTCTGCGCCCTCGCCAGGTGTTCCGGCTGTGTTGGGTGTTGGGGGTGCTGCGGAGCATCCTGTTGTGTGCGGCCCGGTTCCCCATTTGGTTGAGGCTGCTGAAGTACTGCGACGGGCGTTGGTTCGCCCGGTTCGTGAGGGCCGTGGTTCTGGGTCCGCCTCCGGCTGTGAGGATGTGCGGCCAGTGCCCAAGCGTTCTAGGCGCTCTTCTACTGCTTGGGCTGATATGGAGGACTACGACGCGGGTGGAGCTTCGGGAGATGGTGTGGCGGTTCCAGGTGCCTCGTGCTCTACGACGCTGGTGGTGGCTGATGTCCATGTGTCGGCTGTTGACGATGATTGTGCGTCTAATTTACCTCCTGTTCTTTCTCCTGCAGAAGGTTCTCCGCAGTGGGAGGTGGTTGCTCCTCCGGGCGTGGATGGTGTGGATCCTGGTGCGAGCCGAGGCATCAAGCTGGTGCTGAAAAAGGATGCCAAGCGTGGGGGGTCCCGGCAGGTGCATCGTTCAGTGGTTGCCGAGGAGCCCTGTGAGGCAGCTGAGGAGGCTCCCAGTGTGCTGCCCATTGCCCGGCCTCTTGGGAAGGAGCCTCTCCCTCTCATCTTGGCCTCCGGAGTGGCGATGGATGCTGACCATCCGTTGCATTTTGAAATTGTTGACCGTGTGCGTCCTGCTCCGTGGTGCCCTTCTACCATCTGGATTCGTCGGGCTAAGTGTTTTATTGTGGGTGTGCCAGAGTTAATGCCCGATCCTCGTACGCTCAATAGTGACCATGTTTCGGAGGACATTATGTTACTTTGGGAAGCGTACTGTATTCGCTTCCCAGCGGGAGAGTGGCCGGACAAGTATGAGATCTTTTCGTAGTCTGTGTGCTTGCTGTGTGTTTTATTTTTCTTTTGTTTTCTTGTGTTTTTGATGTTGGCCCTTCAGGCCGGTGTTTAGTGACTTGTGTTTTTGCCTGTTTTTTTATTGTAATTGGCCTCGCCTTTTGTTACGGGGCGTTAATGTATTGATTTTCTGTTGCTTTACCTGTTGCCTCTTGTTGTATGTTTTGTTTTTTGGAGGTGTTGTTTTGTACTGTGATTGCTGGATTGCCGTTGTATTCTGTTTTATGTTTTGATGTGTGCTGTATTTTTCATGTTTTTCTTGTGTATGTGTTTTGATGTGCTATGCTGTTTTGTTGTGCTCGGCTGTCGGCCCTTCTGGCCGGTGGTCTATTGTTTTCCTTTATGTATTCTGTATTTTTATTGTATTTAATTTGCATGCTCTGCATGTAAAAATAAAAAAAAATAAATAAAAAAAAAAAAACTTACGGGATATGGCAGTTGTTGTTGACCCGGCGAGGGGTGCGGACCTGGTGTCGCTGCTGACGTGGCTTGTGTGCCGTGTTATTGCTGAGGGGCCCTTGGGGCCGTGACGGTCTGCGATCATGGGGGAGCCTGTGCCCCGTGTCTCCAGGCAGGCCTCCATTGGCCTGGAGTTTTCTGGGATTGCTTCGTACCACGCTGTGGAGGTGGTAATGATTGATATGTTACGTGTCCAAGTGGAGTCTGTATGTGGTGTGCAGCTGCTCGCCGGCCGGCGGGCGATAGTCAAGTTCAACTCTCCGGCGATTTATCAAGATATCGTCACGCGCTATGATGGGCGCTCTTTCGATCTTCCTGGGGATGGTGGGTCGGTAACCCTATCCGACCGTTGTGGAGCCACGACGTATGTGGCTGTGCATGGGATGCCCTTTGAGTTCCCTGAGGATCTTCTACGTAGGTACTTTGCCCGGTTTGGGCGGGTTCTACATGTGAGGATGAATGCTGTCCCTACCGGGAGATGGAAGGGGGTTCCGTGTGGGACCCGCACTCTCGCCATGCACCTCCGGGGTTCTGTGCCGTCCTCCATCATGCTGTTGGGGTTCCCGATTCGTGTTTTTCACGCAGGACAACCTCGGAATTGTTTCCGGTGCGGCCTGCTGGGTCACCTGGCCGCCGGGTGTGAGGAGCGCCGGGTCACCCCTGTCAACCTTTTCCAGGAGCAGGTTTTTCCCCCGCTGTCGGCCCCGGACCTGTCTCCCCGTGATGGTCAGGATGTTGCTTCCCTGCTGGTTTCGACCCCGGTGTTGGATGGTGGTGTGGATGTTGACGTAGGGGTTGTGGCGGCCTCGCCCCCGTCACCGGCTTCCCCGCCTTCGACGTCCCTGCCCCTGTCGCCCCTGCCCGCTCCGTCTCAGCCGCCCGTGCCTGCTCCGTCCCTACATGTGGTGTCTCCTGCCCCTTTGGATGTTAGCAGCGGGGAGTCTCCTGTGGTGTGTGGTCCAGTGCCCCCGGTCGTGGAGGCTGCGGTTCTTAGGGGCCGGGCCTTGAAAGCGCGTCCATTGGAGTGTTCTACTGTGTTACGGGATGATGGGGGTGATAGCTTGGATGACCGGCAGCCTGTCCCCAAGCGCTCGAGGCGGGTCCGGAGTGTGTCCCCCCTTCGTGGGGTGCCTTGGGTGGAGGTGGAAGAATCCGTTGTTCCGAAGTCTCCTGTCGTGGTTGGCGGTGCTGTGAGGGGCTCTGTGCTGCCTCCGGAATCACCCCCTATACCTACTGCTGATGACTCCCCTCGGTGGGAGGTTGTTCCTGCCGCACGGGACCTCGCCGTGGTCTTACGGAAGGATGTGCGCCGAGGTGCCTCTGCTCATCTGCTTGGTGGAGGGGGCCCCGACTCGTCTGTGTCCTCTGCGGGTTCCCCTAGTGTACAGCCTCGTGTGAAGCCTCGCGAGAGGCCTCGTGAGAAGCCTCGTTCGCCGGTTGGTACGGAGCCCTGTGCGGCGCCCGACGAACCTCCCAGTGCCAGTGCCGATACCAGTGCGAAACCACCTAGTGTAGACCCCCTCCCTGTGCTCGCAGCCGGCGGGGGCGTGGTCCCTAAGTCACGGGTTTTGGACCTCGTTTGGGACGACCGGGTGCGTGAGGGCCCGTGGTGCTCGTCGACTATTTGGGTACCGAGGTTGAAGGGGTTTATTTATGGGGTGCCTGATTGGATGCCTCGGCCTTGTGCGTCTCCTGGTAGACAAGTGTCCGAGGACGTCCAGCTGATCTGGGAGGCGTACTGCTTGCGCTTCCCAGCCAAGGAGTTTCCAGACAAGTATCGTTAGCGCCTGTGTTTCTTTGGGTACTCTGTTTATTTTCTTACCGTGTCTGCGGTTCTATGTCTGGTTTGGTTTCGCCCAGGAGAAACCCACTGAAAAACACGTGGTGGCCCGTCACTCACACTGGTGGCCACAAACACGTGGTGGCCCGTCACTCACACTGGTGGCCACAAACACGTGGTGGCCCGTCACTCACACTGGTGGCCATAAACACGTGGTGGCCCGTCACTCACACTGGTGGCCACAAACACGTGGTGGCCCGTCACTCACACTGGTGGCCACAAACACGTGATGGCCCGTCACTCACACTGGTGGCCCGTCACTCACACTGGTGGCCACAAACACGTGATGGCCCGTCACTCACACTGGTGGCCACAAACACGTGGTGGCCCGTCACTCACACTGGTGGCCACAAACACGTGATGGCCCGTCACTCACACTGGTGGCCCGTCACTCACACTGGTGGCCACAAACACGTGATGGCCGTCCCTTTGCCTACTTGCCCCCAGGGTGCATGCCCTTCTTCCACTCAATATGATCATGTTAATTAAAAAATAATGCTTGTATTATGTCTTTGCAATGTTGAAAATTTATACTTTGCAATGTCACAAATGTAGTATGCAATGTTCCAATTCCAAAAATAGTATGCAATATCGCAAGGCCAAATGTAGCACGCAATGTTGCAAATTCATATAGTGCAATACTGCAAGGCCCAATGGAGCATATTGTTATTTTCATATTTTTGCACAAAGAAATCACGAGACGTGATGTATCCATAATACTTAAATGTAAGTATGTTTGTATATGTATGTATACCTAAAGGGTAGTTAGAGTGAGGTCAGGTATGCAAGAGGGTCAGCTTACGATGGTAGTGTAGAAGGCGCAGACGAGGCCCATTGTGACGATGGAGGCCCAGATGGGGAGGCTGGTGACGGAGGATAGGGTGATGGAAGGCGCGTACAGGCATATCCCAGAGTACACGAACGATGCCAGTACCTGAATTACTGTCGCCGTCTTGCGCAGCGTTCGTGACTGGAACCGCATTTCTATGTACTGTAAGGAGGGAAGTTAAATGAGCATTAGTCTTCAGGTTTCGGTAGATATTATCCATTGCATTCATTAACCTTTAAACAAACACTTGAGCTGCGTAAAATAAATAAAATAGACAACCAGAGTGGAAAAGGAGGCATGAGGAGAATTATAATACGTGGTCATTTTAATCTGAGGTAAAAAAACTAGGTAACGAAGGATTCTAATGTAGGTGACGCAACATGAGGAGCAAAACTGGCCGATAGAATTTTAAAATACTTGTTGAGGCAACATATTCATGTGAATGACCCACCTAAGTTAGAGAGCTCTACATGTCAACGTTTGAAGATGGTGCAAAGTTAATAATTAATGAAGAATGTAAAAGCCTAGGAGAACTACAGATAATTACAGGAAGACCTTGACAAACTCCAGGAATGCGCAAACAAATGCAATTCAGTCCCAACAAGTGTAAGAAAATTATGATGGGAAAGAGAGGGAGAGAGGAGACCAGGAGGTATCTACTCCATTCGGGAAAGGCAACTACAGGAATTGGAAAGTGAAAAAAACATTTGGGGGTTTATACAAATGCAACACTAACACCGGAGGCGCACCTAAACAGGGTAACAACGAACTCTGGTGAACATTTGAGCAGCATTTAAGGGGCTCGGTGACGGTACACCGAAATTTCCTCAAACACACTCAATTCATTATTAGTAATATCTTCATGGCAAATGCTCCAACTTTTCCAAAGGGATCAACATCATACCATGAACAGAAAAAAAATAAAATAAAATAGAAAAAAAATAACAATTTCATATTTAGTGTCAAAATATTAATATGTAACCAATTGATATTTTAATCATTATGGTCTCAGAGTGGCATATAATTGTCATGTTTCTTGTAGCAAAATATTGTTTGAGAATATAGTTTACTGTAAAACATTTTTTCAATGTTGTCATCCAAATGTGTGCAAAATTTAGACCCAAAAAATTTATAACTCCGAACGTTATGGCTTCATGACTAAACGACATCAAGAGCACCTTAGTACCAAGAACTTAGCACATAATATGTAAAAATGGTGAGAATCGGTCGGAAACTGAATATTTTAGTGTCTCAAAGTTTAAAATTCTGTTCATACAGAAATGTGAAGTTAAAGTTCTCGACAATGTATATAGTGCTTCGAATTTATGGCATATCTTGTAAGTTTTAATTAAGACTGCTTGGCATTCGTATTCGAATATGTGAAAGTTGTAGATCAATATGTTTTGAAATGAAGTCAAGGAAACATAAACCTCCAAAAAACAAAATATATGAATTCGTTAAAGAGAGAAATTGAACTAAGCCACTAACACTAGCCTCTTCTAAACTATGTTAGCAACAATAGCATCTCCTAAACTAAAACGCCAAAACACGCTTCTTCCAAACTTCCAAACTTCCAAAAGCCATCGATACTAGTCTCTTCTGAACTAAGACACCTGCATTAGCCTCTACTGAACTAAGCCACAAACACTTACATGTTCTGAACTAAGGCCCAACACTAGTCTCTTCTGAACCGAACCCTCAACACCAACCTCTTTTAAACTAAGTAACATGCACTAGCTTCTTTTGAACAAACCGCCAATACTAGCGTATTCTGAACTAATCAACAACACTAGTCTCTTCTAAACTAAGCCAACAACACTAGCCTATTCTGAACTAAGCCACCAACATTAGACTATTTTGACCTAAGCCTTCAACACTAACCTATTCTGAACTAAGCCACCAACACTAAGCTATTCGTAAATAAGCTACCATCACTATCCTGTTCTGAACTAAGCACCTATCCTATTCAAATACATCAAAACTAACCGCTTCTGAGCTAAGCCACCAGAACCAACCTCCTTATGAACTAGGCAACCACAGCACAATGGCAGGCTTCCCCAACTATAGCGCCAAGGTGACCCAAGCACAGTGCCAGACTTACCCCAACCACAGTGCCAGACTAACCCCAAGCACAGTACCTGACTAACTCATCTCAATGCCAGTTGACACTTAGCACGGTGCCAGACTGATCCAAAGCACAGTGCCAGACTGACCCCCAAACACAGGGCCAGGCTGACACCAAGCACAGTGCCAGACTGACCCCCCAAACACAGGGCCAGGCTGACACCAAGCACAGTGCCAGGCTGACTCCCAAACACAGTGCCAGGATGACACTAAGCGTATCTATAAGGTGTGAAGGATTGAAGAAATTGTTTATGTAATAATCTAAGATGAGGTCTGATAAAGACCTTTTGTGCCCTCTGTAATGCTTTTGTGCTACCGCTCACAGGATGAGTATGGGGTGCACAATAAACTAGCCGCCTTCGGCGGCAACAATCAATCAATAGTGCTAGAGTTACTAGGCTCACCTCAAATATGGAGACGAGATGGAGAGGGTACAGGACCGGTAATATAACGTTCCTGATCATCAGTACGCCAAATATGTTACCAAACAGGCTCATCGTCAGCTGCGTACCGTAGAAGTACATCTCCGTGGCGTTACCTGTGGGCGGTACGCACCGTTACACACGTCGTTAATTAACCTCGAACCCACACACTCATACACGTCATCAGTCACAGCTGCACGAATGTATATATGTAATCAGACGCTAATATACACGTCTTAACACTAATCAACTTAACACCTCAATAAAACTGTATTATACATATACTTACCAAGTATTGATATCGCGGATATAGCTCCCCCGAGGAGCGAGAGAGCCACGGGGAGGACGGGCATGTGGCGACCCCCGAGCAGGTACTGCTGGGTGGAGCTGACGCCGCGGCCTCTCAAGGCACTGTACACCCCGATACCCGCCGACACCACCAGCAGCAGCCCGAACACCCCATAGTCCACCACAGTGAACTTCGACCCTGACATCGGGTCAGGGGACATCGGCTCCCCCTCCTCCTGCGGGTCAGTCCCGTCCATCCTCAGCAGAGACCAAGCGTTTTCCCAGGGGCGCTACAACAGCTGTTTAAAGCACAGAAGAGCATAGAAGATATCACGTTGATTACACAAGCATATTGTTGAACACTGGCACATCCGTGACTGATGTAGTGGAGTTGGAACGCCAGCTGAGACAATACTTTCAGTGGTAGAAAGATGCCAACTGATACGGTTAGGCATCAGAATACAAACTTAACTCTTTCTTGAATTTAAATTTCACAATTTCAATATAATCCATTAGTTATCTGGTAACGCTGTTAGCATTACCAATATTCAGAACTTTCCATTTTTCAGTATTAAAATGTATCTATCAATCTCGTCCATGTTGAAAGCCTAAAAAGATACAATTTTGTGTCTTCAGAATTTATACCCGCCCTATTTTTGTATCCTCTTCAAATTTGTTATTAATCTTAAATCCTATGTCTAAATTGTTCTTATATAAGGTAAACAATAGGGACTAAGGAATGCCCCAGGGACAGAGTCCTGGGGCATTCCACTTATAAGTCTCTCATTCGGACTTACCTCCATTTATGCTAACCCCTTGCCTTCTTTATAAACCCGGAGCCAGAATCCAACGTAGAATAACACCCATAAATATATGCTTCTAACGTTTTAATTTATCTCTCATGAGGTATATTAACAAAGGCTTTGCTAAAGTAAAAATATAGGATGTCGCATTCCTTTCTTCTATAAACAGCTTACAATATAATGAGAAAGAATATGGGAAAATTCGTTAGTGATAACGAATAGCCTTTAGTAATAACAAATAAATCTCTTATTAATAAATATTTTCCAAGAAGTAAACAAACCTGTCAACAGTAGGCGCAGATGTTGGAGGCTCGGAGACCTCAGTTCTCATCTAGTATATAGTCAGTGGAAGGCGAGTGGTGGTGGTATGGTAGTTGTGATGGTTGGTGACGCTAGCAGCTGGGCACCGATGGCGGTGGCGACATCAGATGGGTAGTGGTGGTGGCGACAGCAGGTGGGTAGTGGTGGTGGCGACAGCAGGTGGGTAGTGGTGGTGGCGACAGCAGGTGGTGGAGGTGCCGGCAGGTCGGCAGTGGTGGTGGTGGTGTCGTATGGCAAGCGGGAGCGACGGCAGGTGTGTAGTGGTGATGGTGGCGCAGGCAGGTGAGTGGTGGGATGGTGATGGTTGTGTTGTTGGTGGTAGTGTGGGTGATGTTGTGAGTGTGTATTGCAGCAAATTTCATTGTAATTGCCCTCGGCACATGCGCCTCTGCTCTCCTCTGCCAAGGACACGCACCAAATTTGAAATTCATTATTTGTGTGCGAGTTACCTCCTTTCTCGTACTTGTAGCTGCATTCTGGCTTGCCAACTGTCCTGAAGATAACCAGTCTTGTGTCGGGCTGTGTTCGACCTTACAGATTTTTACCTAATTATATTATAGTTTGCCTAATTTTTACCTAATTATATTATAGTTTGCCTAATTTTTACTTAATTATATTATACTTTACAAACTGACAACTATTGATGTCTTGTTCGCTTCTCTCTAGTTTCCAAGCTGACATTAATGGTTGCATTGCACCTATACTACTTTACATAATGCAAATTAACTCAAACAGCATAATCCTTAGATTTAACAAGGCTGTGTGTTTATGGGAAGTTTTGGGTAGTACAATGTAAGCTGCAGGTTCCCACTGTTAGGGACAGAAATCTGTTAATAGGCTTACTGAGGTCGAATGATTTTGTATATGTATACACGAGGTTCCTTTTAATTTTATCAATTGGATAAGCTATTCCATGTTTACGTTTGATTACAGACAAACATTTTGGCTTCCTTGGAGTTATAATATTTGTACTGTATATAATTTTTATTCCGTTGTTGTGTGTTTTTAGTGTAATATTAGAGTATTGTGGTGAGTCAAGATGGTTATATCCTTTGATACTCTTAAATAATTTTATCAAATCCCCTCTTATATTTTTTCCTATTCAAGATTGAACAATTCAGTCCTTTAAAACCGGTTTTGTATGCTAAACGATTTATATCTAAATCTTTGTATCATCTTAATCGTTAAGTCTTGATGTCATACAATTTGTCAACATTCTTTCTTATATATGGTGACCGAAACTGTGAGGATGACTTTCTCAGAGAAGACCTCGAAAGATCAAGAAATGGAACCCAATATTTTATTGGCTAGTTTTTAAAGCCTAAGTAATCCCAATACTGCTTACTTGGCTTAAGGTCACAGTACCTATTATCACTCCCAGTTTTCTTTCTTCATTTATACATTCAGTAGCTTTATGACGTTCATTAAATAGCTTGACTATTTTTCCGTTATATATAACTGTACATTTGTCAATGTTGAACTTATCTGCATTAAACCTATCTGTGTAACCTCTATTTCTCAGTTTATTGGTGTTGTAACTTTGTCCCCTAGTTTTGTGAAATGGGTAATTTTGTATATTGCACAGTATATTCTAATACCGATGTCATTTATATAAATAAAAAACTGATGCTAAAGGTGAGCCCCTGACGTAGCACTTCACATGCAGCTATTCCAAAGCATTGCTATTTAGAACTATAGTTTGTTTACATCCAGATAGCCGGTTTTCAAACTCTTACCAAGCCGTCTATAATATTTTATCACAAACTTCTGTAAAAAAGGAACTTTGTCTGAAGATCTGAATATGTCTGGCGTTTTGATTTCGCTATACGCGTTAATAATATCATAAATAAAAATAGACTTGCCAATTATGAGCAATGTCTCGAAAACAATGCTTGGAAACTTTAATTAGAACGTGACATGTATAAGAGCATCCTATTTTACACTGCCTTGTTTTACCAGCTTTGTAAAGCAAGATTTACCATTCATGAACCAATGCTGTTGTTTCTTCATACGGGCACTTCTCACAATTATCTTGCATAATATGGTCTGTAATTTAGTGCCTCCTGCTTATCTTTCTTTTTGAATGCTGGAACAACTTGTATAATGTCTTCCAGCCTTCTTGAGGCTTCCTTGTCCGTCTGTCGTGGCTTGTTATATATATCCTGGCCGGGGAGGATTGACCGGGCGCCAATCCTTAACTGTAGCCTCTGTTCGCCCAGCAGTGAATGGGTACCTGGTTGTTAAACGATTCGGCGGGGTCGTATTCCGGGGAAATTAGGGTTAAGGACCTGCCCGAAACGCTACGCGTACTAGTGGCTTTACAAGAATGTAAACTCTTGTATATTAGTAATCGAGGCTTCATAGTTCTTGGTATCCAGAGTGAGGTCTTGTTTGGTCCTATGGTCTTTATCATGTCCATATCGAGCAAGCACTTCCCTGGTCTCTGGTAATCTCAAAGTATTACAGTCTGCTTAAACTCTGACATTCCCTCTCATTTTAGGCATCTCATGTTTGTTTGTACCCAACAAACATGTTTGGTTTATAAAACGATTTAAAAACGACATTTTAAAAATTTATTATATTTTTTAATTAGGCTTTATGAAAATTAAAATTACAATTATAATTTTTTTTAAATTATTTAAAATATGTGAAGCCATATTGTTAATTAAATAATGGTAAATACAAAAGTTTAAATAAATGGCGGACTGGGGTGGGGGAGGGAGGGAGGCCGCCGTCACACTTGTTACACACTATCAACACTCGGGGAAATCACTAGTGCACTTTCTTTTTAACACTACACTCGCCGATTTGCTTATGAACGCACTAACTTTCCACTAACATCACTGTAGGCAGCACGAGAGCCTCCTCCCATCACCCCCCACACCCCACTTGGGGGCTGGTGGGTGGCGACACTGGGATGAGGCGGCGACCACGGTCCATAGAATTACCCAAATCGGCCCAAAACTACACAAATCGTCCTAGCATTACGTAAGTAATGAAGAAATATGGTATATTTACTTACTATAATGTTGGTGCTACACGTAGAACATGATCAAACCTATTTTTACTCTGAAATAATCTAATTTCATAACGAAATGAGACGTAAATATGTGAGTGACGCCATAGGAAGTCGACGGTCCAAGCGACAATTGTGTGGAGCGACTTATCCAAGATATATGGTCGCCTGGAGAGTGTTTGCTGCCATATCAGCCTCCTGTACACAGTGATCCAGTCGTCGCATTTCATGGCTCAAATTGTCGCAAATTTAATTGGTGATATTAAGAAGTAGAATGTGTATTTATATAATATCTTTCATAAACAGCCATTAAATCTTTAATATTAAACAAAACGTGTCTGGAAGTTAAATCAACTCCACACGACAATAAATTTGTTATATAGATACTAGCGTTATTCGTTGGTATGCGTTCGCAATTTAAACTGTTCATGTCCTTTTCGTTCATTGAACACCGAACCCTACACAACCATGCACAACTCAAAGTCCAACAAGTCACACCCCCGGAGTAATGCAATCGGAACCTGACAAGTTGTGTAACCGGAGCCCGACCAGTTGTGTAACCGAAGCTTGACCAGTTGTGTAACCGGAGCCCGACCAGTTGTCTAACTGCAAGCCTAACATGAACGAACCAAACAAACAACCTCTGGATCACAACCATGCACGAACGGAAGCCCGACCATGCACAACCCAAAACTCAGGTGACACCCCCGGAGTCCGACCAGTTACTTAACCGGAGCCCGACCAGTTATGTAACCGAAGCCCGACCAGTTGTGTAACCTGAGCCCCACTAGTTGTGTAACCGGACCCCGACCAGTTGTGTAACCGGACCCCGACCAGTTGTGTAACCTTAAGCCTAGCAAGTATACATCTCATCCAACCCCCACAAAGCTAAACAGTCCCAGCTGAACACAACCAAACTCCATTCCTAGCTCGACCAAACAAAAATCTGCTTAGCCCTACCAAAAATCCTCCACTTGCCCTGGACACCAACTATTGACCCATAGCAAACAATTGAACTATATACAAAAGAAAGAAACCCAGATTTCTAGCAAACATATAAACAGAGCCTTAGCAAACAAACCTGGAGCACTAGTGCACAAACAACCTCTGGATCACAACCATGCATGGACGGAAGCCCGACCATG